ATTATTTGAACTTAATCTCAATTCGCACATGATTTTTTAAAATTCTCTACAAAGCAAATCTTTGTTCGGGTGTTGCCTCTCCGGTACTGTTATTTAAGTATTTTATGGTTATGTAAAAGGTTGTAACTAAAAAGTAAAAGTAAAAATAACATAAAAAATATAAACTGAATTGGAATATTTTGGTCCATCAAGTCGCATACGTGCTTGTTCGGAATACTTTGAGCAGTTGTAACCGGTATTCTGATTTTCCATCTGTGAATAGTTGGCAACTTTTCCAGTTGCTTTGACGAGTACTGTTCTGCTTGATAGTGAGCGTACCGTTGGTGATCCCAGTGTTCGTTAGGCTTCCCCAGATACGAGCTGTCGAGACTGTACATCGATATATTCAAGGGAAATAGGGTAGAATGAAAGCTGGCAATAAAAGCCGAAACCAAAACTGTAATTGCAAGCTTGGCCGCCGGGGAGGTCGAAATAGGCAGGGGGTATTGTGCGATTGTCAGTAGGCCGAAATAACAGGCCGTATAAAACAAAATTCAGAAAATTTGAATTTCCTAGGTTAAAGAAGGGTAAAATTTGGTAATAAAGAATGTAGTGAGGAAGATAGTTAGCTAGCTATTGTGGTACAATCCTTTTGACATGTAGAATAATCGTGTAACAGGAATAATTTTGGTTGATCTGTCTGTGTTTCATCCCTTAGCTGTAAACACAGACTGTGGAAGGCGGGTGGCTAGGGGGTGGGAATTAATTCTGTGTTTTCAGATTGAAATTCTTAATGTTTTTTTTTTATATAAAATTTTATTTAAATGAGCTTTGTTTCATAGTTTAGACACTGGTGAATCAAAAAAATTATGAAGAAGCGGTGAAAATTTTTCTGAAAACTCGTCCTACTCTTCTGCGGTACAAGGATGTCGCATCAATATCCAATATATACGACGAAACAGTGATTATCATGAATTTTGTTGAGCAAGAAGTTCGATTTCATTTTTCCCGCATTTCGTTGTCGTGTTCCTTCTCACTTCTAACGCAGCTGGCAGCAACGTTTTCATTTTCCTCGGCTTTAAGTTCTGAGTAACTTCATCTAGTCGTAAAAAAAATATTTCTATCACCGGCGAGTATCGTTTTTTTTTGCACCAGTTTCCACCGTTCCATCATTTTCTCAATTTTAAAT